CTCTTGGCTTATGGCACAGGAAGGCTTTATGAAGCACAAAGCAGTAAAGGGAACAGAGGATATATGCAGACAACCATAGAGATGATGAAAAAACATTTTCTGAGGCCTTAAACTCACATCTTTCCAGATTTGGTGCTATTTCTTAGTCTCTGTGCATGGGATCCCAGAGAACTTCTCAGCCCCGAGGTTTTCTTGCCTGCCTCACCTGAGACCAAGTTCCTGATAAACCCAGGCGGGCACCTTCCCAGTGCTGGAATTCCTCGTGTACTCCACTTTCAAGTTCGGACTTGTGCCAGCTCTCCAGAACATTCAGTGCCCAGTCCTAGTCGAACGGGAGCAACTGGGCTGGGCTCTGCATGAAGAAACGGGCTGGTTGCTTCAGTAAGTGCTCGTGAAGAGCAAAACACCCCAGACCACAGTGCTTTTCTGTTGCCATCCTCTTATGGACTCCATGGCTGGGCTCTGCTGCTCCTATCCCTCAGCAACGGGGAGATTATTCCGAAATATTTCCCTTGGCCTTCCCCTGGCATAGGAAGAGCCTAGTGCATGAAGAAGCTGGAGAAAGGTTGGTTTGTTTGATGAAAGCAGAGTGAGACACATCAAGAAGCAGCCTGTTGACAAACTCAACCCAGGGAAGGTCTTAGGTTGTTGGAGAGAAGGCTAACCCACCCTATCACCAGCAGAGCCCGTTGTCGTCAAAGAAAGACGTCCACCATGAAAATACCCTTCAGCTTTTCTCTGCTAAGCTCTGCCGAATCACAGAATCACAGATGGATCCAACCTCACGAGGAATAGTCCTCCCAGGGTCTCCGAGATCCCAGCTTGGGGCAGTGCCCTCAGCACTGTCTGCTTTCAACCCACCCTTACCCCCATCCCACCAGATGCACCAACGGTTTTAACTTCAGAGATGAAGCAAAACTCCTTTACTCACTGCCAGCCACGCAGCCCAAGGCTATTCCCGCTCCGACAAGGAGGATCCAGGTCTTCATTGCTCCAGATACGGCAAACTTGATCTTTTTAAAGTGTCCTGGAGAGAGGATTGGGAATGTCAGCACTTCCCAACGCTCCCTGCTATATGTGGATCCACTCCAGGTGAGGAGGAAGAGGAGGAGAGTCTAGTTGTGGCGTCACCGAGTAATTCGCAGGCAGGCTGCGCGCAAGCCTTGCCAAAACTCATCATGTGCCTGTCTTAATTACAGGCTGCCTAGGAAGGCTGGTAATTCCAGCTCCTGGTGTTGCTCCACTGCACACACCTACCCGTGTGCATGTCCCCAGGACAGAGCCTTGCCAGTGGCTGTGGAGCAAAGGGAATTCTTGTCTTCCATCATCTCTACTCTTCCAAAAGCTTCAGCATGTCCATGACGGATGAGGTTAGGGCCAGGCCTTGGTCACCCAGACGTGCCCCTTGTGTCTCCTGGTGAGCAGAAGATAACCATCTCTTCCTCTCCAGCTGCTGTCTATTGAGACTGTGCGTTCCTTAAGATACTGACTGCCTTTGGCTGAGGCTTCCAAGACTGTTCTTCTCCATCCTGCCTTTCTCCATGGCTCTGGGTAACCCTGAGGAGGTGGACAGCTTGTGTCTGGCTTGGTCACCGGCATCTTCCCAGGAGCAGACCAAACCGAAGCTCCATTCTGAGCTACCACTGTCCCCAGTAACCCCAGAGGAAGATGTCCCCTGGATGGTGGGTGCTCTGGTGTAACCACCAGGACATGCCACCTGGGCATGCCACCAGCCACTTCACCATTCTCTGACCTCTCTCCAGCTCTTCCGTAGGTGTTTGCACCGCAGGAGGACACATCCGTCCCGTACATGGACTGCTGTCCATAGGGCACCTCACCAGGGAGCTCTTTAGAGCCCGGCTGGGGAGAAGGAGCCAAGTCTCCGCTTTTCCACTTGAGTGAAGACTTCTCCAGCCAAGCCAGATGACTGGGCCAGCATCCTGTCTGCAGTCGAGGAAGCAAAAAGCCCCCGGACACATCCAGCTCTCCAGGCAGCCAGCAAGCCCGGCGCCAGCACTTACAGCAGCCAGCAAACCTATAGGCTGAGACTAATCCGCAAGCCTATAGACATATGGGAAAAGAATGCAGCTCTGGTTTAACCCTTCCTTCCCCACCACCGAGTTCCTTCCTTTCAGGGCTGCTCTGGCCCTTGAGGGAAAAAGGCCCCCCCAAAACGTGGCCGGGATTTTGGGCTGCCTTGAGAGGATCTCAAGGGGTCCTCTCTTGTTTTGCCCCAGCCTCCCCAAGCAAACACATTTCTGAGGCCACGTGGTGCTCAGCGCTCTAGCGATGGAGGTGGGAACCTCACCGACATAAGTCTTCAAGACTTGATGCTTGGTCCCTTGGTCACTATCTCGCCTTGCTTTTTTTCTTTTTTCGCCCTTAATTAGCACTTTATTGAGTTCCTGTCTCCTTCCCTGTGATGGGTCCTCCTTGCCCTGGGGAATCCGGTGCTTCCTGAGTGCTGTGTCAGCTCTTCAGGACGTCATGAGTAGTCTGGAAATGGGGCAAGAGCTGCCAGGTGTTGCTATTTCCCTTGAATAAATGTTCCCCCCACCTTAAATGCTGTTCTGGGGGAGCCCTGAGAGCTCAGCATGGGTGGATGTTGGGTGCTTGGTCACCAAAGACAAATCTCGGTGCCCTCCCTCTGCCAGGGCTCCAGAGCAAGGCCGTAGACCGTGTCTGTGCTTGTAGCCACTCAGTCCATGGGTCCGTCTGCTCTTTAGGCTGGGATCAGGAAGGGATGTGCATCCCTGACATTCCTGATAGACCTGGATCTAGATCTAGATCTAGATCTGCTGGTCTCCAAGGCAGGGACGTGCAGGACAGTGCAGCGAGGCCGCCCTGTCATTGTAAGGCCCTGGGTACTCTCAGGAAGGAGAGAGTTAGAAGATCATGGAACACGTGGAGCCGTGAATCAGACCCCAAACATATGGGAGGACCTTTACGTATGGGTTGACTGTAAAGCCACCAGGTCCCACCAATGGTAAGAGAGGGTTAGAATGGCTCAGTGTGTCCCTAGGACTACGGACATGCGGGGAAGATTAGGGCTTCACCAGCGGGGCAATGCTGGCACCCTTCTCAGGTGGCCGCCCTGATGATGGGAGCAACGGGTTGCAGCGACAAGCAGCACAGAAGATGCTCAGGATGGCAGGGCAGCTTGGGGAGAGAGCAGGTATGGAGTCACCTGGGTCTGTCACCTGGAAATACTCATGTTCTCCTGGGACCAGAGCCTGCACACCTTGACCGTTATTCTCTGGAGTCCATAGCATCCTGCAGCTACATCTGGGCAAGATAAGAGATGGGTTCAGGTCTCCAGACAGCACGTCCAAGCTCCATGTTAGACATGGGGCACTCCTGCTGGCAGGACATGAGAAGGGCACGTCCCTGTGGACATTGGAGAGGACAGAGGGGAATGGAGGCACTGCCAGTGCCACTTTGGTGGCACCCACTGCCCCGTTTGCCCTCTGGGATGTTCTATCTGGGCTCTATTAGATGGGTTGCATGAGGCCGCTATGCTGAGCACGGTGACCGCTTGGGGCCGCGCAGCTTGTCCCCAAACATGTCACCACAGCCACCAGTGTGCCCAGTTAATGGTCACCACGTCCCTCAGGGTCTCCAGGCAGATGGGGCAGGTCACCTTGTCTCGGAGCATCCCCACCACGTCCTTCCCCGCAGCCACGGGGCCGCTTGCTGCAGACATCTCCTCTCCTCGCAGCGCGGCTGCGGCTGGAGCAGAGAGGCGCTCAGAGCACCACGGAGGAAGCAGGAGATGCAGGAGGCGCCGGGGAGCAGAGATCAGGGTCCCCTCCTCTCCCCCAGGCTTTGCAGCAGCTCCAGAGCTCCTCGGCACCAGGCTGGGGGCTCTGTCCACTGTCACTGTACCAGGGCGCCCGGTCACTGGTGCCCCTGAGTGGTCACCACTCCCAAAAGCACGAGCGCGACCTCGTCCTGCACGGCTTTGTCCCCATGGAGCCAGGAAGCCGCCGCCACGAGGCAGGGGCATCTCCCAGCCTCAGCACCCCTAGGACGGCAAGGACCACGTGGAGCAAACCCAGGTCGCCGCGTGGAGGAGGGAGGCGCGCACGGCCTTGCATACAAAAATAGCTCTATTGCCCGCCGGTCTATTGCAGGACCAGCCCCACGGCAGCCCCACGCGCGGCGCCGCTGGCCTCCACACGCCACCGCACGGCCCCGCGCCCCGTCACGACTCCAGGTCCCGCGAGAGCCGCAGCAGCTCCTGCTGGCTGTCGATGGCTTTCAGGTGCTGCAGGTAGGCCCACGTGGAGACCGGGCTGCGCACGCTCAAGGACTGCTCAGAGCCTGCAAGAGAGGGGCCAAAACCAAAGCTCGGCTAATGCCTCTGGCTGGGCTCACCAAGTCTCCTCCATCAAGACCAGCTTAGCTCGCCCATCCTCCTAGAGCAGCCCTGGCTCTGCTCCCAAGCAGCATCCTTTGCTCCTGGCTTGACCCACCAATCCTCTACCCTCTCCAGTTGGGTTCGTCCACCCCTTTGCAAGACCCCTGGCTCAGCTTGCAGACTCCCCACTGCCAAAGCCTTGGGCTCAGCTCCCCCATCCCTCTGTCACCTCCAGCTTGGCTCACTGAGCCTCCTCTACTGCCTCTAGTGGGGCTCATTTAAACCTCTCCATCGCTTCTGGGAACTCGGTGGGCTGAATGGAGAAGGTGTAGAGGTGTAGGTGTAGAAATAGAAAACCAGCCTTGTATAACAGGACAAAGTGATGGGCCATGCCAGGGCTAGAGCCTTATGGCACAGTCAGAGCATGCGGACAGGTGGGAATCACAGACGGATCCTCCCTCCAGCACAAAAGGGAGCAGTCTGGAGTCCTGCGATGTCCATCCAGGGGTAGGTGGGACAAGGGCAGGGAGAGGGAGCTCAGCCTCCATCCCCGGGTCCCCCAAAGCGCCCAGCCTTTCTCGCACTGCAATGGAGCTGATGCCCTTGGGGTGTCCGCAAGGGACTGCACCACGCAAGGACACGTGTCCCCCTGTGCCAGGCTCGTCAGGCCCCGCGAAGACCCTGGATGGGGGCTAAGGGTTCAGAGCGGCTCCGCAAGCTCAAGCCGTACACGTGGAGATCCTCATGGCCTTGGGGTCCTCCAGGCGGTGCGGGGAGCGACTCCGCAGCGGGGACAGTGGAGCTAGGTGGACAGAGAGACACAAAGAGCTTAGCTACGTCCCCAAAGCTCCTCCTCAGGTCTAAGCCGGGCCCACAGGCGAGCACTCACCATGCGCCTGTCCCCGGCAGCGCTGCAGGACACGCACGGTCTTAGCCATCATGTGCTGTGGGGCAAGGCACAAGGGTCACTTGCTGCCACATCCCCCCCATTCTGCTCCCAGGCTGGCGAGACATGGTCCCCCTCGGGCTTTGGCAGCGGATGTGGCTGCCTCGTGCCCTCTGTGAAGGACAGCAGCTGGAGGCCAGGCCTGGGTGCTCCTCACAAGCTCCCAGAGCTCTAAGGGGACCAAGTTCTTGGAGAGCTGCACTAAGGTCATGCGGATGATCCTCATCTGCCTCCAGTGGAGGCTGCGCAGGGTGCACGTGCCAGAGGCAGGATGACAGGCAGATCCCAAGGTCCCCAAAGGGTGGAGGTGACGGGAGCTGTCCGGCCACGGGGGAGCAAGGCTGCCCAACTCACCATCTTCTCAAAGTTGATGAGATTCTCAGCCAAGGTGCGGTTGCCTTCATGGATGAACGTCATATCTGCAAGGGAAATCCTGGGATCAGATTGAGGCCGGGGCTTGGCTTCCTGCCCTGGCCCGGATCAAGGCACAGGCCATTGCCCCAGCTTTCGCTCTGCAAAGAGCAAGGAGAGATGGAGCCACAGGCTCCGTCCTCTGCCAGGCAGTGCCCTGGGCAGGGGAGAGGCTGTTTTGCAAGGTGACCTCGTGGCATGGGGACCAGCTCCCTGGTCGTGCCTAGTCTTGGGGTCCCAAGAGGAGGATGAGGAACCTCCTCTTGGACAAAGGGTTCCCTGTGATCCCAGCCCAAACTCCCTCCAAGCAGAGGAAAGGCTGCACCCCATCCGCCCAGGCCATGCATCCAGGGCTGCGTCACCCACCTTTGAGGAGAAGGGGCACGAAGGGGATGATGGGGGGGCTCAGCTTGGCCACGGCCAGACGGTAGACCCTGTGGTTCCACGAGGGGTCCTGGGGACGGAGCAGGATTTCAGCACAGGGCAAGCAGAGACACAGCCCGGGATGCAAAATGCTTCCAAGGAGGGAGACGCGCAGGAGAAGGAGCCCTTCGATGTCCTGAACCAGCACATCCCGGAGCTTGGGGGAGATGGTGGCACTGTCCCCATGACCCAGTGTCCTTTTGGGAAGTGAGAGCAGGAAGAAGCCCCAGCAAACGCAGGGCATGGGAGTGACCTCCTTGTGCACCCGCAACCCCATCCTGCTCCTCCGCACCCTGATGCGAAGGCTGCACAGAAGCCTCCCCGCCCCGGCCCAACCTCCAGGTGGGAATGCCGCGGGCAGGGAAGGGGCTGCGCTCACCAGCATCCGCTCCAGCGCCGAGTGCAGCTTCCGGATCTTGTGGGGCAGCCTCTGTGCAGACAGAGCGTCACCAAGGTGTCACCATGTCCCTTCTACCTCCAGAGCTGTGGCTGCCACCAGCTCACGGCACAGGGGAACGGGCCCACGGGTGGTGGCAGGATCTGGCCAAGGTTCAGCCCGGGCATCACCAGCAAGAAGGCTGGGACGCAGAGTAATTCCCTTCGTGTCTCCAGGGATCTCCTGGTTTTCGCCCTCGGTAGTGCCCATCTCTAGGATGGCAATGCCTGCGACACCGCTCGCTCTGGGAGCTTATTAGGAGCTGTAGATTTGGTGGGAATTTCTACCAAGGTCCATGGGATTTGGGCCCTGGGCTGAATCTAACGTCTGCTCTGATGCTGTCCCTCTGCTAGATGGAAAACTGGAAACACACTCCTGTCATTAGCACATCTCTCGCCAGAAGAGACCTTTTGGGTGCAGGTGACCCTACACCTTTTGGGGTGCGGGGTCAGCTTGGTCCCCAGCACCTTGGCCATGCCCTCCCCCCCCTGCCCTGTGATCTGTGAGCCCCGAGGACGGGCTCCCCGGGCCGCTCACCTCCCAGGTCTTGGCGAGGCGGCTCACGGCCGTGTTGCTCACACCAAACATCACCGCGAAGAAGGAATTCAGGTTCTTCTGCTCCTTGAGGCTGCGGGTGAGGAGCAGAGTCAGGCGGAGCACGCGGCCAGGGACCCGATTGCCCCGGCAGGGCGGCGAGGGACCCACTGTGCAGCCAGCTTGATGAACTTGCGGAGGAGCTGGGCTCGCCGGCCCACCTCGGCGCACAGGCACAGCTCCGTGGCCACCCAGTACTGCAGCTCGTTGAAGCGGCGCATGACGCGCTCCAGGTTGGCCGTGGTCACGTCGTGGAACTTCTGCGGCCTCACGATGTAGTGGATCATCTCCACCTGCGGAGAGGCCGCGCTGGGGGCACGGTGGGCATCCCATGCCGGGATGCCCATCCCATGGCGGGGCGAGGGGTGCAGGGGGTCTCCCCCCGCGCCGCCCCCACCTGGTGGATGCTCTTGAAGAGGTTCCAGTCATAGTCCGTGAGGTGGCTGGCCAGGTCCTTGGAGCTGATGAGGTCCAGGGTTTCGGAGGAGCCGGTGCTGGGCCCCAGCTGCTCGGGATGGGGGATCTGTGCACGGGAGAGAGGACACCCATCCACCCCTGCTGTGAGCAAGGGGGAAGACGAGGACGGCTCCCGCCCAAGGGAGAGGATGTGGGATGGAGGAACCTTCGGCCCTGAGCACAAGCCCTGTCTCACGGACAGCCCTGCCATCCTTGCCCCATCCTGCTGCAAACGGGGCAGCGCCCATGGCATGCCAGGCTGCTGCCGCCCAGCCCCATTGGGCTGCCCGGCCCCTTGGCCCTGCGCTCACCAGGCCGCGCAGCTCCTCCACGCTCACGGCAAAGAGCCTCTCGTTGAGCCCCAGCGAGGTGAACACCCCCACAGCATCCATCTGCAGCCCCACTTTGTCTGCGGGAGAGAGGACGGTCGGCGCCGGGATGCGGCTTGCACCCAGCAAGGATGAACTGGGACCAGCTCCAGACCCAGCTGGTCCCACCGGGAGCAGAGGACGGGCAGATCTTATGCAAGCCCGGGGCAAACGCTGCCTTTATTCCCCGCGGGGAGAGAGGGCAGCAGCCCGCGGGGCATTTGCAGCTCTGCAGCAAGAGAAGACTACCCGAGGAAACGGAGCTCACCTCCAGCTGAGTTGACCTTCACCAGGAGGAGCTCGCCGTCCCGGCCGAGCTTGGGGCGCAGCGCGCAGAGGATGTCCCGCACCGAGGCGTTCACGGGCAGCACCGTGATGAGGCACGAGTGGTCGGGTCTGTAGATTTCGTAGGGCACTGGGGACAGAAAGGGATTTAGAGGGAACCTGCGGACATCACAGAGGGCCCCTCCAGTAGGGACACAAAGGACCCGTACCTTTGTCCTGAGCTCTTAAGGCACAGCTGCTGTTCAAAATTGCCTCTTCCTGGCCTGAAAACCAGTTCACGGAGCTTCGAGCCTGAGGTCAAGGTGGGAGAGAGAGGGTCGGTGCAGGGGGGTGCTTGGGGACCATGCACTGGCCCTCCCTCCTGCACGGGGACCATGCAGGGCACCCTGCAGATGCACATGCAGATGCACATGCAGATGCACATGCAGATGCAGACGCAGATGACGCAGCTCTGCATCTCTGCAGAGATGACCCAGCTCTGGTCCCCCTGGTCGTCAGGGCTGCTCCTACCTTAGGCTGGGGAGAAACGCTGCCGCCTCCGTTCTCCAGCCTGCACAGAGGAGCAAACGCAGCGTGAGAGCCCACGCAGGTGCTGGGGACGGAGCTGGGTGCTGCGAGACCCTAGAGAAGAGCCCGCGGCCTCCAGCATAGCTGGGGTGTCAAGAGGATGTGCTGAGCACCCCTGCACCACGGAGCGCCGGGGCGTCTCGCTCGCGTTGGGAAAACTTGGTGCTCGGGAGGATGCTCGAGGCCGAGAGTGCTCGGGAGCCGTCAGTGCCACGCCAGGACGCCAAGCCATCGCTCTACAAGCGTGTCTGGCCTGCTAGGACCTCAGCCCCAAAGCAGGGGCAATTCCCTATGGCCTCCGGAGCACACGGGCGCCCTGGGGAGCAACCGGGCTCTCTTTGGGATGGGCCTCCCTGTCCCGCAGGGCACTCACGGTCTGGGCCGCCGGCGCTCCTGCGCGTGCTCCTGGCCCATCCCGCCCAGGCGAGGGTCCTGGCTCGCCAGGTCCGCGAGGTTCTGCGGGGCAGAGGCGCTCAGCAGGGGCACGGCGGCATCTCCACGGCCACCTTGTGCTGCCTCCCCGCGCGCGGTACCTGCAGCAAGGCCGTGGTGCTGCGGTCGCCCTGCAGCAGGCGCCCGTAGAGCAGCACCCACTGGCTCACCAGGCGCAGGATCTTGCGGCGCTTGTGCAGGGAGTAGGCGGCCTTCTCCTGCTCCGAGCCCTCCAGCAGCTCCGCGCGGAAAGTGGCGCGAGTCAAGGGGGTCACCACTGGGAATGAGGGGCCAGGAGGGGAGAGGACAGGGACCCCAGACACCAGACAGAGAGACAAGGGATGCTCTGTGCCTGAGAAATGGGAGGTTCTCTTGGTGTCTACCAAGGCTCCGTTGGGAAGGTTGGGAGCAAGCGGAGCAATCCCGAGCAGGGGGATGCACACGGCGGCACGGACCCCCAGAGCGCCCCGCCAGCTGCACAAGGATATTGGTGCAGCAAGGCTCTGCAGAGCTGCGACGTCGGCATGAACACGGTGTAGGTGAGCAGGAAATCTCCCAGCAGGGTGTCTGCAAGAGACCAAACCAGGTCCTGTTTAGGCTTCATGAAGCTCCACTCACCCATCAGACCACGGTTTGGGGGGCTGTTTGGGGTAACCATGGTCTTCCCTCTATGGGGACTCTGCTCTCTGTCTTGGACCCAGGGGAACCATTTCCTAAATGCTGAGGAACGGGTTGGCTTTATGTGAGCTTGTTGGGATGCCAACATTAAAGAAACGCCAGAAGTTCGGCACATGGCAAAATGCTCAGAAACAGCCTTTGATGAGGCCGGCTCGGAAGCTCATTTCTTACTCACTGGGGACACCTCCTGGTTCCTCCCTGGCTCTACTGTCCTCTCTGAAAGGAGGTGAAGGGAGACACCTCCTGCTAAGGGTGAGAGAAGCTGCTGCTTGGTTGTAATGTCCTGGCCAGGGCAGGGGACGCAGGCGCGCACGTACCCGCAGGGTCATAGAGTGTGGCGTCGAGCCTCATGAACTCCAGCAGATGCTCGAGGATCTTCTCGGGCGTCCCAGCCATCACCGAGTACCTGGCAGGCAGCACGCGGGGCGCATGGGGCAGGGAAGGACACCCCACTGCTAGGCTGCGTGTGGGGCCACCACGAAGGGACGTGGGGACAGGCAGCACCGGCTGGGAGCCCTGCGGACACGTGTCCCTCAGCCGGGCAAGGAGAGACAGGGACAGGACAGCGATACCTGCTGCTCCTCACTGTGGCCGACTGGCTGCTGCCACCCTGCAGGTTCTTCTGCAGGACGAGCACCACCTTGCCGTGCTCCTTCAGACGCATGGTGTTGGCCTCCACATCCTGGAGGGCGAAAACAGCCATGAGCGTGGGAGGGAGACGCCAGGCTCTGGGGACTCACTCCGTCTTCCCATCCCTCCAAAGGGCATCGCTCTCCAAAGGGCATTGCTCTCCAAGAGCACATCGCCCTGCAAAGGGCATCGCTCTCCAAGAGCGCATCACTCGTGGGCTCCTGCATCCCGCGCTGCACCTGGTGGGCAATGAAGGTGCTAGCACATCAAAGCAGGCACTCTAGGTGGTGTCAGTCCATCTGGTTGCACCCCCAAAAACCACGTCAGAGATGCACAAGAGAAGACCTCCACGGAGCTGGGAGTGCTACGAGCCCTGTGCAGCCCACACGAGACGCGCCACGTGCCTTGGATCAAGCAGCACTGACGTGTCTAGGGGCTCCTGCTGACCCTGAGGGGCCTCGTGCCCACCTTGAGGATGCGGTTGAAGTCCTGCTTGTCCACACGGAGGAAGTGGCAGTTGTCCTCCCGCAGGATGATGGTGGCTGCACGGGGCGCGTCGTTCACCAGGGCCAGCTGCCCAAAATCGTCTCCCTCGTGCAGGGTGGCCACCAAGCCCTGAGGAAGGCGGGACAGGGTGGGAGGCCTCACCCCCTGCTCCGGACCATCCGAGCTGGGTATCCAGGGAGCTTCACGAGGTGCGGACAGGCCTAGGGAGCTCCAGGGGCTGCCGCGCGGGGCAGGGAACCGCGCACCTTGCCATGAGTGACCACGTTCACCGAGCCCTTCCAGATGATGTACCACGACGTGCCTTTATCTCCTTGGCTGAACACTGCAGAGAAAACCGTGGTGGGCAGCACTGGCACAGGGGTGGCCCTGAACACCCCACGAGGTGACCAGCCCTCTTCAGCCACCCCAGGACCCAGCCCGTGCTTTAGTCGCCTCCATCTCTGGTCCATAAAGATCCAAAGGTTGCAGCAGGACATGGGGAATGTCCACGGTAGGTGGCAATGGCTCCAGCAACTCCTTCCTAGCAGGAACCCTCCCCAAGATGCCAGCCCAGCCTCCCTGGGAGCCAGTGCCACCTGCGGCCGTGTTGACGCTTGCAGGACACTCACGCACGGTGCCAGCCCTCTGGTGGGACTCGAACATCAGCACGGACGCCAGCTCCCGCTTCACCTGCAGCGAGAGGCGCCCACCCTTAGCGCAGCAAGGAGGGGACACGTCCAAGACGCCCCGAGGTGGTCGCAGAGGGCAGGAGAGGAGAGCAGGAAGACGCCTGGAGGAGATGATGGGACAGAGCAGGGTCTGGGGACAGCAGCAGGGCTGAGGAGCACGGCACGGCCACACTCACCGAGTTGGAGAGATGGGCCACGGCCTTTATGTGCAGGAGCTCCTCAAATATGAGCTCCAGCTCATCCTCCGTGCGCTGCGTCGGCCTGGGGGGGAGAGCTGGCCTAAGCAGCAGTCCTGGACATGGCTTGGTGGGATGCAGCACCCCCCGAGAAGGCTCTGTGTCCTCTGCCACGTCCCGGGGCAGAGCCCTCCTCTGCACACACAGCCTGGTGGGCAGAGAACCCCCCTTCTCTCCCCAAAGTTCTGCCCAGAAGGTGCCGGGAGGGTCTCAAAACAGGGGCACCAAGTATCCCGTGTGGGTACCACCGGGCTCGGAGCTCCTCCGAGCCATCTGAGAGCCTAGGAGAAGATCACCCGGCACCCCAACCCTGTGCAGAGCTGGCCCTTGAGCCCCATCCATGACAGCCCGTGGCATCTCCAGCCCCCTGGACCCCTGTCCATGACAACCCGTGGCATCTCCAGCCACCAGGAGCCCCATCCATGACAACCCGTGGCATCTCCAGCCACTTTGAGCCCCGTCCATGACAACCCGTGGCATCTCCAGCCACCGGGAGCCAAGTGGGCTCGGAAGTGCCCCCGTGTCCCTCCCGCTGCGCGGGGCCGCTCACGGCTTGCGCAGGGCCACGGCGAGCAGCGCGTCGGGGCCCAGCTGGGCCAGGTAGGCGAGCGCCTCGAGCAGCTCCTCGGTGTCCCGCGCGCCGCCGCCGGCCTCGCCGCTCCGCTCCAGCTCGGCCACGCGGTACAGCTGGGCGTCCTTGTCCTGGAAGGGCCACTCCTGCTTCACTGCGGGAAGGAGAGCGCGTGAGCCGGGTGCGGGCGCCCGGTGCCACCCATGGGAGACGCTGGCGCCCGAACCCACAGCCCCAAGGGACCCCAGCGCCGCCCAGGGCACCGGTGTCACCCATGGGAGACGCTGGTACCCGAACCCGCAGCCCCAGCAGCCCCAAGGGACCCCAGCGCTGCCCAGGGCACCGGT